GTAAGGAAGAAAGAGAAACTAAGTCACCGTTGACTCTACCTGACTGAAGTCCTTGTATGCCTGTGTGATTCCGTTACTTTCCAACATTTTCAATTCCTCACCCTCGGTGGCGATCATTCCATGAGATCCACGACGATAGCGGCGAGGAAGGAAACGGGTCTGGAACAATAGTCAGATTACCTTTGATCAATCGCTTCCTCCCGAAGAAACGGTNNNNGCGATCATTCCATGAGATCCACGACGATAGCGGCGAGGAAGGAAACGGGTCTGGAACAATAGTCAGATTACCTTCAATCGTCTCCCTCCCGAAGAAACGGTAAATTACCTGAATGATTTTGATATCAGCAATCCAAGCTGTAAGTACGGTAAGTGGGAAGAAGGCAAATGTAAGAAGTCCTTCCCATATTTCAATTTCTCCTGGCGATACTACAGCCAAAATCACATACATCCAGATATAAGCAAAAATTGACCTGAATGTTTACAGTAACAACGATGTTACGGTAATTTCGTAATTTTATCAACAACAACTTCTGACTAGCATTGTAAAGTTTTGAAAAAGCCTAAGTAAATAAGTTCTGGGCATACAGCACTCATTTCACTTGGTTCCTACAGAGCAGATCTCAAGATGCTGTATTTTTAGCCCATATTACTCATCAATTCAGAAGGGTATTGATATTACGCGTTTAACCCAGAAACCTGTGGGAACTAGTCATACCATTCCAGCTATTTTACCCACTCGAAAAGACCATTGCGGGTTCTGGTGAGCGGTTCATTCAATTGGTAGCTGTATTGTAATAAGCTATCCTCCCTTGTTAACAAGCTTGTCTGAGAGTAGGGAATAGGCAAAGAATGGAGAAAAATGCCCCTCTAGAGAGTCACGATGATAAAGATTCGATCAGGATACGTGGCTTATTCTCCGAAATACTATTTTTCTCGATACAAATTAATAAAACAAGGTCCGAGTAATTAGGAAAACATACCAAGTAGCAGTTACGAAGAACACATCTAAATGTTTTTGCCGACGAACTTCTCCATTAGGAATAACTGCAACACAAATGGCAATGATCATAAACAAATTGAATGCAGCCGATCCGACGATTGTGTTGGGTCCGAGATCACCAGCTTCGAATTTTTTCGCTATCACCTAAAAAGTATCGGTCGAGAGAAAAATGTAAGAAAAGAAAAACTTAAATTATTGGAAAATAAATCAAAATTCCAGAGATTAAAATGTACAAAATTCTCAAATTACAACCAGCTCATTTGTAAAAATTTCGACTTAGTCGACTAACCTCAATGATGGAGAGCAGAATTTCCGGAGCGGAAGAACCTGAAATTAGTGTAAATGGCATTATTTGGTCCAAAAATCTCGATTCTCTATATTTTTTTGTAAGGATTCATTTATTCTCAAGTAGTGATGTGGAGGATACGCCATGCATCCGACTTTCTGTACAGAATAAGAGGCCTTCGAGTGCAAGCACCTACTTATCTTACTCGCTGTGAATCACGCCAAATAAACCACCAAATGGAGCAGTCCAAAATAAGCTTTGGTCTCTACTGGTTCTAGCGGGTGCCCGCACACGAAAGTACAATGCACTAATGGGATACCCACGTCAATCGGAAGTAGAATTTATCCATTACCCCGAAGAAACTACCACAGACATGCACCAGTTTTCACGATCTGAGACAGAATATTCCACTTTTGTTTATGTAATTGTTTATTCTACATGTTCGGAGGTAATCAGCCTAATCTTCCAGTGATCCATTAATTAGCACTGGATCAACTGAATAAACCATTGGCGGCTTCTCACTATTCATTGTATAGGCGAAGCAAGAGTCAAAACGCTCCTAAAAGTCTCTGCGAAAGTCAGAAATGTGGCGTACTCCAAAGAATTGATCACTGTTGTAAAATTAGTCGCGACTTCCATTCAAATTCTACATGGCAACATCCGCCGTTTATTCCAAAATATCGTACACTAGTATTCATAAATATCACCGAGTATTTTTAGTTTTTTCCGAAAAAGTCAATTACATCCTGCTCATACTCACCCAACGCCATGAGAGTCAGATTTGAAACAGTATCGTTCCATATCCGTACGTTCACTTCCATTGGATCCAGTCCCGGTCGTTTTATGATGATTTTCCTCTCCATACTGAAAAACCAAAGGCTTTCAAGGTCTCCTATTTCGTTCTGATCCACTGGTTGATGCGTTTTCTTTTTGAAAATTGGCTTCGAGTCTTATTAGAGGCTCAGGAGGAATGCCCTCAAAGTTTTCTTCCTCCTATAGGACCTACTATGAAAAATTCAGTATTTTTGCTCAGTAACCATCTTCATGTTAAGTTGGTTTCGTGGAATAAACTAATTGTATTTCGTTAAAATTCAAAAAGGTAGTCTACCTCGTAATCACTTCGATACTGCTCATGAAACGATCCGCTACGATTGATACTCCCAAGAAGCAGTAGGCGATAACGATAAAGTAGATTAAACCACGGAGGATTTTGTCTCCGGCACTGAGGTCAAGAAATGGTCGCCTGAAATTTAGGAATTAATAGCAGCGGGTGAAGTTTCTTTAAGAACGTGAAATAGTTAATACATTTTAGGTTCACACCCTTTCTCCAAGAAGGGCCGGCAAATTTTATGGTTTTTTCATAGTTTACAAAAAAAAATTGACGAAAATGATTGCGAAAGGAGCGGTATATCGACTTTCGAGGGAAACTTGAATCTAAGACGATTCGAGAAGGGTACTGTAATATTGCTGAAAAAAGCTTGAAATGGTGGATTGGAATTCCCACATNAGGTTCACACCCTTTCTCCAAGAAGGGCCGGCAAATTTTGTGATTTTTTCATAGTTTACAAAAAAAAAATTGACGAAAATGATTGCTAAAAGAGCCATATATCGACTTTCGAGGGGAACTTGAATCTAAGACGATTCGAGAAGGGTACTATAATGTTGCTGAAAAAAGCTTGAAATGGTGGATTGGAATTCCCACATCCAACAGTACGAAGTATAGGCCTATGCCCTTTAAGTTTCCCATAGAGCGTCTGGCTTAAGCAGTTTCCAAAGGCCTACTATCCCATTAAGGAAGTCGCAAAGTTTTATAAAACCCTACTCAACTCTGAGAAAAGCAAAGATTCTAGAAGAACTTGAGGTGATTCACCGTGTTTTTCCTTTTTCAGAAAAAGAACTTCTCCCTTTGAAAACTGGAATCGCTACAAGTACACCAGTATGCACTGCTTTTTTATGAAAGAAATAAAATGCTCACGTGAGAAAGAAAGAAAAAAATAATCAACGTTTGCTCGATTTCGATCCCAAAGCAGGAATAGCGCAAGTACATGAGAACGAAGCCCAGACTGAGTTTCACCATGCCAACAGGTGTTCAATTTCTTTGCGGTTGGTCAATGGCTGGCAGATTTGGATGAGGATTTCTGCGTAAGAGAACTTCCATGATCAACAACAACTTATCCCACCTCCAAGTACCACCCCAATTCCTAAGAACAGTTGCATACGCGGCGTAATCCAAAAACAGATGTATCGATTTGAATGGCTCTTTTCTTCAGTTCTGAATGGCTTGCACAATGGCTGACATCATCTTTGTTTCAATCGATTACTAAGGTAACTTTGGTGCCGGCTGAAGTTCACTGCCCCTTCCCTGCCCCTAACCTGCCCCTTTAATTCAACTACTACTATGAGACCGTTGAAGTTATTTCGGGAAAATTCATGGGCAATTCCGATCTCCGGTGGTCGCCTCCATGTGGTCTTCGTCACCGTTGGAGCCGGACAGATAGCAAATTTGATTAATGGGTTTCTATTAGCGAACCGATCAATCCACTCAATCAATCGAGCCGGCATCTTTAATGAGCTTTTTCTCTAGGAAGATCAATGGGTTGCATAATTTAAGCTTATGAGAAGCCAGAAATCAGTCATGAGCTACCTCGCCGGTATCAAAACTCTCGACTTCAACTAACTCTAACTATGAAAAACAGTTCAGATCCAATGCTCAGCTTGGTTTTCGATTTCCAAGTTTTATTGACAAGGTGTAGGCTGAAACATAGGCACGAAGAAATTGCAAAATTTTGGAAAACCTCAACTCAGGCTATCATGCAGACAAGCCAAATGATCACATGGCCCTCTTGCAAACAATTTTTTTTCGTAGAACCAGTTTTTTCGGCGATGTTATTCTATTGATTTACATTAGATTTTGAGGAGATGGGTCGGTGGCTGGCCAACCCTCAGGTGTGCTTGAAAGGGCTGCAGCCCATTCATGACGAGCTTTCACAAAAACGACATCTCAACGACATTACACGTCCATGATGCTTACCAGATGGGCACGACGAGACCGTCGATGCAGTTTCGAGTCGCATCGGCAGCTGAACAGTTTGTGGCGACCGTAGAGTCGATTGCCACTATGGCCACAAAGGCCGTCAGCAACCAGACTCGTAGCCGAGCCATTTAACCCTAAAAATAATCTAATAATTCAACTAATAGGCACGATGAAAAAAAAACTAACGACGATTTTTATAATACATAAATCGAGCAACAGCTGCTTCGAGAGGGAAGATCAGAGTCAAAAAGCCCAGCGACATAATAATCCTCGTGTTTTTACATCTATCTATGAAAAGGGCACCACAGTGTAGTGGGAAAAGAGGAGGAGCCACGTTGGGAACCATGGCGATGAGGAATTTTCTCTCCAACAAACCCATTTCCTCAGCAATTTAGCTTCAATTTCCCAGAACGGCAGCAAGTAGTGTATTCAAACTTAATAGAAGCTCTATTCGGGAAGATCAATTACAACTTCCTAACCCTGTGTTCTCCCGTAGGCTGTCAAGTTTTTTTTGAATTTCATTCTGACAGATCAGTCTAAACAATTGGGGATGAAATGGTCTTTAACCAGGAATACAACTCATTACGAACTTGGACTGAAGAACTGAGAAGCAATACGGATAAAAAAGTCCAGAAATACTTGAGAAACCTGGACACGCAAAAGGTTCCTCAGCATTTTTGTTGGCCAACATCTGGTGGTAGGGCCTAATCGGTTTTGACTAGAACAAGAGGGAAAAATAAAGGAGAAAGCAGATATCAAAGAATCAATTGAAAATGGCAATGGCGACGAGTTGAGACGTTTTCGGTTGAGTTCTGGGCTCATTTCCGAAGTTCGACTGAAACCACTCAATTTCATGCGTGTTGTGATGTCTCTAATGAGTTTTTTTTTGGAAAGGGATATAAGGGTGAGAGAGGGCAGAGGAAGAAATTCTCTAGGGACTGAATGGGGAAGTTGATGTGTGCAAAAAGGATACGCCGCCTCAGATCACTACCACATGGCATCGGCACATTGAAATCGTCGTTAAATGTCTCTTCATCGTATCGAAAACGAACAACGATACGGGCGCAACTCTGGGGATGATCCAGAACTCGAGGGGCTGGTAAAAAATATTTTGACTTTGAAAAATGACAGAAAGCCCTTCTAACTGGACGATTGTTAGCGGTCGAGATACTACGGTAAATCAGCTTCAAAGCGTGAATGCAGGATTCGGTAGGGAGAAGAGCTCCTACTATTGATTACAAAGACTTATAACTTATTATAAACTAAGAACAATTTGAAAAAAANGAAGAACTTATGGTAGGAATAGGATAGGAACTGGGACCAAAAATCGGGTATGCTCGTAGTGATAAGAGGATCGTCGCGATCGATCTCAAAATCGCTGAGATCTGGAGAGTCGCCCGCTGAGGGCAAACAGCTTTTGCCAAACCAGCGACGCTACGACGACGACGACGGCCAAGCTCATCCACCAGTCTCAACGACCACTCAGCTCTACTCCGAGCTCGGACTATTTCGACAGAAAACCGCTCGCTTCTCGAGTAAGGAGCAGCCAGCGATTTTCGCCTACTTCAGAACGGCTTAAAGAGTAGGTTTTGTCCGTAGAACTGTGAAAGGCTCGGAAACCAATAAAAAGAATCTCAGCGGCAGGCAAGGGCATTGAAGAATCACTTATCAATAGGATTAAATTTATTGATTTGAGATTGTAACATAGAAATGGGCTCAGTAGCCCGACTTTGCGAAAGCCAAAAAAAGTGCAAAAGGGGAAGGAAGAGAAAGTGATAGCTAGGAATGAATCAAGGAAAAGGATGAAAGCTCTTTAGCAATCGAATTTTCTGAATTGAAAAAGTGGGCCTCTCCAAAGCACGCTGCCTCAATTTACAAAACGGCGGCACACCGAAGCTGTTAGCAGCTGAACAAAGGTTCCTAGAAATCTTTACTCCCTCAGACAGGTCCCCGAACGGCCCAGTCCAGCTTGAGGAGCTCGCGCCACGATATTTTCGTAAATGGGTTTATAATGAGGGGCGACAACGTTCGTACGACTACCAACCGCCACATGCTGATGATTTTCGGGTATCAGAGCCCGAGCAGATTGTGGGTGGCATCATTCGAGGCGCAGGCGGCCCGATTATGCAAACACCACAGCGCCACGAACATTACGCGATGCCTCCGTCTACAACACTGTATGTCGGAACTGTGCACACGTGTTGACATCTGCACCAACGCCCTGTAACGTAGTCCTTAAAGAGATCGTTCAAAGTACAGTTGGGGATCCTGAAGGAGGTAGCCAGGAAGAGACTGACCATTTTCGAACTCGTCCCCTCATCTTTGCTCCAATGAACAGACTGGAGTAACCCGAAATTCATTGGAAACGCTCAAAGGACTTCTCCAATGTAGAAAGTGGGGAAGAAGCTCTACTGATGAGAAGTGGGCCTCCCATGTTGATTTTTCGGAGAAAGTCGCATTCGCTAAGGCAGTTGCTCAGAGTTAGTCCCCGATTTGGAGTCACCCGGGCCAATAGAAGCTGTCGGGGGATTCGCAATTTCTACCGGGATTGCCGAGAAAAGTGCTGACTCGAGTATGGATGGCTGTGACCTTTTAGAAGGAGCTTTTTGTAGCCTATGAGCGGCGAAGCGAGCAAAAGGACAGCTATCATTCAGAATAATGTGAGTTACGCCGCCGGTAAGGCTCCCATTCAGGCGCTCTTCGCCAATTTTACAATCCTTCGAGTCAGTAAAGGAAGGTCATCAAGCAGTTGAAATCAATTGTATCGAAAATTCCAGAAGGTTGGGGAGGTTGATCCACAGAAAGGGATATGCGGAGCAACTTCTTCGGGACTTGGCCCGAGTCCCGCCCACCGCATGGAAGTTTCGCTCCGGGGAGGGCGGGACGGCACAAACTTCAAGAGCTGTTGGGAATAAGGCTGTGCGCAGAAACACTCATGATCATGAGGATATGCCTTTCTTCATTTATACCGTTGCTTACATAATGGTGGGTAAGAAGATGGCGAAGTCTTTGAAGACTAGGAGAGCCGGCCCCAAAGTGAGCGATAAATTCGCCTGAAGAAGATTTACCTGCTAGACTTCTGAGCTACAGTGAGGATCGCCTCTTGATTGCTCAAATAAACTGATTGGAAGGGAGGTGAATAGGAACGGAGGAGGAGGACTCGAGCGATGTATGGTAATGATCAGATGAACTGATGTTGATCATTTGAAGATGTTAGGCAAAGACTGGATAGAATCGGCACTGTGACGAACGACATGGCTGGCGCCCGATGAGCGCTCTTGGCACTTGGTGAAGATGAGCGAGGAGCACAGCGCAGAGGGAGCGCAAGCACGAGGGGGAGGGGAAGCCTCTCGTCACAAGTACCCGAATGACACAAACCCACACAATCGCAACAACCAGTTATCATACATAGAGGCACAGACGCACATAGTCCCAAGCCGACAGTTACCGAGGATACGGTACGATTGAGCGGCCCTGATGAAAGGATAAACCATGGCGATCGTGCGGTAATCGGCCGCTTATCCCTGGCTGCAAAGACCTATCAGACCAATCGTTTTCGAGTCAACATGGAGTATCGAGTGGCTCAGTTGCATGTTCTTGTTGGAATCCTCATCGGGATGCTTTCAGAAGGTTTCGCTTACGATTCAGAAGCCCCCACGCTTTTCCATGCCAAAACCTTAGTTCTAAGTGACCTTTGAAGAAGATGAGAAGGTGCAGGCGAACGCCTGAGTCAGAAAACAATAGGCAACGTCTACTGACAAATGAAATGAACTCGGTTATGCTAATTAAACTAACGGCTGCCTAGTAAAGATCCCATCTCATCAAAAAGAGAAGCTGGAAGTCACTTAGCTATCAAAAAGCCATACTGAAAACTTTGTATTTGTAACACCATCATAACGATCGATTTTTCGGTATAAGCCATTGACCTAACTTCTTTCTGGAATTGTAGGGACATTTGAGAGTCTGACCTACGAAACTACTTACTTGCAGTTTCACCCAACAGCAAGTCAGTCTTTAAGAGCTTCTGATAGGACATAGTATAGTACAATATGCCGACGGAAAGGAAGGGCAGATAGTCCCTGGCTGGAAATCCCCAGAGATTACCATCAGGAGCCGCATTCCCAACTGGGAGTTTCCTGATCACTTTCCACTGAACCCTAGTCATCTGGTTTGGGCCAAAAAGAATTGAGAAAAAAGTGCTTTGTGCCATTGTCAGGCCCAGAAACAGAACGGTTCAAGATAAGCTCAAACAGCCTTCATCAAAGTGAAGAATAAGCTTATTCTGAGCTTCTTCCACTCTCCTCCCCTCCTCCTCACCTTCCTCTCTCTTCGGCTTTTTTTTTCTTCGATTGGATAACTGCAGGTAGAGAGTCGTTTTTCTCAAGTACATCTCGAGAGGATCGTACAAGCAAGTTTTTTTCATGTCCACCCTCGATGCTGTCGTGGATGAGTGAAAAAATATTGGCAATTCGCAACGGCGGTACTTTGCTCTAAGGCTTTTTTCTTGGTAGATTTCAAACTTACGACTTCAAACTGATTTATTCACTGAGTTTACAAAGACTGATTCTTGTGGAGGTTCGAGTATCAGTGAATACAACTTTGGATAGAAATTGTATGGCCTACATCAGTAGATAGTCAAAAGGTAAAGTTAGGTGACGATCATCCACCTACGAATTACCTCGAAAACAAAATTTTACATATTCACACATATACTTACATAGAGAAGATCAGCTTTTGTTGGCGATGTTCTCATTCCTAAAGGTCAAAAGGTCAAAGGGCAAAAAGGTCAAGATGGCATATCCCAGCCAGCCGATCTCTGAACTCGGCTGTACAATCGCCTCAATTCCTTGCTACCCCAGGAGAACAGACGTAGATTTTAACTGAGGAGTCTGTCAATCCGTGGACGGGATGATGTAAACAAATGATGTAGTTGAATCTGATTGCTCACCTGACATGATCGTTAAAATTTATTCATTTGAGAACACATTCAGATACAGAGAAAAATTCATGGACCGTAATTTTGAGTGAGATAGCTTAATTTGATGAACTTCAGAATCACAGTTAGGATGAGAAATTTTTGAAGGTTAGGACTTTGACTATGGAGTAGAACTTACGAAAGAATAATTAAAAGAATTTAAGAATCTTGTAAAAGTGAAAATAGATCAAACATCCCCTCATAGTCATTCTGACGAATTCGTAGCCTCCCAGTGGTTCTCAATACCGAGCAGATCTCCCTGGGAACACGATGGAGATAAAGTGGGGACACTTAACCAGGATGAGCAACTATAATAGTAGGTATATACAACAATTAAGGGAGAAAGTAAGTATCATTACATAATATGGATTGCGTCTCCTTGACAAAAGTTGCAGGAATGCTCCGCTCTGAACTCGAATGGAAGCTGCCAGTTCAGCTCAGCCAGCAATTCGTCGTGTCGTCTAAGCTCTCTCGTGCTAGCGCCATAGTATACGCCGAACCAGATTAAAGGAAGCAGCCGAAAGAGGAACTCTGTTTTGGCATCTAAGGACTTTTTGAAGATCTTTTTTGGACAGGATAAACCGATTGAAGTCCACTCACAAGCGAATTTCCGTATCTGAAGATTTCCTCGAAAAAACATTCTTTCCGAAAATTCTAAATAGTCCAAGGCAGCCTCCAAAAAAAGTGATATTCCCGTGGTGCGATACCACTTGATCGCATTGATTTAATGATACATTTTTAGACGCGGAGCAGATAAAATTCAACCGGAATTACATCCAGCTGTCATCTTAGGATTGTCAGTTGACGGAAAAATGGGTTACTCTATGACCAGAGTACCGTTTTAAAGGCAGACCTACATAACTTTTTTGAACTGACATAGCCATTCATGCCATTTTTCTCTATTCAAAGGATTTGAGGATTTTTATTTATTTGTTTGTTTGTTAACGGACATGCTATAAATAATAATATAATATAATAATATAAATAAGCATGGGAAATAAGGGTGACAATATGACCATTGAAGAAGAATTGGGAATGAAGAACAAGCTCTTTAACTAAGCTTAACTACATCAAATCAACTTATTAATGGATTTCTTGAAGTACGATAATTAGAAGGGATGAGATTCCGGCGTGAAAGTGAACTAAAGCTCGACCTAACTTTATTATTAAAAAGCTGCGACTTAATTTGGGTTCCAGCTGACATGGATGAAACCTTGGCTGAG